CGCAAAAAGTGCTTTTGCGGAAAAGCGTCTGTGCCAATCTAGACGCGCTTTTCCGAAAATGCTTTTAACGGAAAACTTTTCCGTTAAAAGCATTTCCAGAAAATCATGCCAGTCTGGACGTAGCCCAAATGAATTATTGGGTAAGCCCCCTTTAGCAATGAAAGGGGGAATGTACACACTGATTGCTTCCCCAGGTAACAATTATTTACTGGGCTTGATAGTAAATAAAAGTGATTTTATTAAGTCCAAGCAGTAGGATTTAAGTGGTAATAAGTGAGAACAGGCAGAGCAAAGTCGATTACAAACTCAAAATATCAGAAAACGCTCAGTTACTTCTACACTAAAACCCCAGTGCAAACTTATTACAAACTCACTCTAAAACTGCTTCTTTTCCAGCTAAGCCTTCCAAACCAGGGCTGTTCCTCAACCTGGGGTCTTTGATTCCTTCCTTCCCGGTGTGTTCAGCCAGCCCGAAGACAAAACCTGCTAGTTCCCTATTGTTTTTAAAGATTTCCTTTGGGCGGGAATTCTGTTTCTAACATTCCACCCTTCCAGTTGGGGTGGACATGTGACTTCCTCAGCCCAACCGCTGCTAAAACCTAAAGACAAAAGACTATTTGCATATGATGGCCCAGACATGGGAAACACCCTTCATGGCTTTCCAGTTACACATTTAAAATCATACAGCATTCCATAGGCCAGATGTCTAACTTTACACACAGGAATGATGCATACACCAAAATATGATTAACAGATCCAGCGGATTATGACATTAAGTTTGATAGGTTACATGAGGCAATTTGTCCAAAGTGTCTTTGAATTATGCATATTTGTGTCCACAAGTCCATTTTCTAAAGCAAAGGTAGGGGGTCCGTCACACTTGGGATATGTCACCTAATTGTTCTTCTGCTTCCATTCTGCACTGGTAAAATGGGGATAATGCTCGTTCTGTACCTCACTGGGGTGTTGTGACGATAGAACACCTCTGCAGAATAGATTTTAATACTGCTCTCCCTATAGTTACTAGGAGTCAGTGGCACCTTCAAGTCTAACAATTTTATTGTAGCTTTGGGGTGCACCGGCCTGGCCCTCTGCTGCCTGGAATGGGGTCCCTCCCTGGACCCTACCTACCTGCCTTGATCTTGGGTGGGGGCCAGGCTGGGGATAGGACAGAAGCAAATCTTTCATGTGAGGGAGCATGGGAGGGTGGGGGAGGAACTTAAAGTGACAGTGCACTCACTGCCTCTCACATTTCTCTAACACACACACACACACACACACACACACACACAAAATCCCACATACCCATGCTTTCTCTCACACACACCTGCATATGCTCTGCCTCTGATGAGTCACACTCACTGTCCCCCAACACAGATTGTCACATACACACTGGATCTTTCTCTCACGCAAACATACACCCACACACTGTCATGCACATACACATGCGTGCACACATGCACACACACACGTGTTCATGTTATTTCTGCTTGGTACTTCCTGTCTAAATGCTTGTGGTGAGCCCGGAGGGGCTCGGGTCTGCAGGAGGGCCATGAGCTCTGGCAAGGTGCAGTTCTCATATGACGGGGAATCTCCATTCCTAGAGGTGTTTAAATCCCAGCTTGACAAAGCCCTGGCTGGGATGATTTGCAGGGGGCTGAACTCGATGACGCCTGAGGTCTCTTCTATGATTCTATGAAGGCAAAACCTGCCTTGAGCCATTACCGCAGCATCTGCTGCGTACAAAGCTCTTTATGTGTCAGCAATGGGGGGGGAGGGGATTTCTGGGGGGTTCAAGGGTGGGGGTGGTGGCTGTGCCCCCTTGGTCCACTGGGATCAGCAGCGCCGGCTGGGGACTGCTTTCAGTGGAGCCTAGGGGCTCCAGTTTAATAATAATTCCTAGGGCCCCAGAAATCCCTAGGGTGGCCCTACTTCTGAAAATGGTGTAAGCGAGATCATCTTCTCTCCCAATCCCCAACCCCTTGGTTCTCACAGGGCCACTACAAGGGGTGACACAAAGGGCTAGGCTGGATGGTCAGGGCTGGATTAAGGTCTTTGTAGGCCCTTGGTGTTCTCATAATGGTAGGCCTTTAAATGAGGGCATTTCCCCCTTATATATGTATACAGGCAGTCCCCGGGTTACATGGATCCGACTTACATCGGATCCCTACTTACAGACGGGGTGAGGCAACCCCGCACTAGCTGCTTCCCCCCAGCAGACCAGGGAGACGCGGAGCTAGCGCCCCCCCCCAGCAGACTAGGGAGACACGAAGCTAGCGCCCCTCCCAGCAGACCAGGGAGACGCGAAGCTAGCCCCCCCCCCCCAGCAGACCAGGGAGACGCGGAGCTAGCGCCCCCCCCCAGCAGACTAGGGAGACACGAAGCTAGCGCCCCTCCCAGCAGACCAGGGAGACGCGAAGCTAGCCCCCCCCCCCCAGCAGACCAGGGAGACGCGGAGCTAGCGCCCCCCCCCAGCAGACTAGGGAGACACGAAGCTAGCGCCCCTCCCAGCAGACCAGGGAGACGCGAAGCTAGCCCCCCCCCCCCAGCAGACCAGGGAGACGCGGAGCTAGCGCCCCCCCCCAGCAGACTAGGGAGACACGAAGCTAGCGCCCCTCCCAGCAGACCAGGGAGACGCGAAGCTAGCCCCCCCCCCCCAGCAGACCAGGGAGACGCGGAGCGGCTTTTCTCAGCAGACACCTCAGCTTGAGAATCAAGGACTGAGGGAAGTGAGGTGTGGGAGAATAAAACTGAGTTCTGGAGAAATGTTTGGCTAGAGTTTCCCCTACAATATGTACCAGTTCCGACTTACATACAAATTCAACTTAAGAACAAATCTACTGTCCCTATCTTGTACGTAACCCGGGGACTTCCTGTATATAAATCCATCGTCTCAACGCCCTAATATCGCCCACTTTAATTTTCGCTCTTGAAAGTGGCTTTAGCAGTTTTCTTTTCTTATTTTCGAGTTAATTATGATTTTTTTTTTAGGGTTAAACATTTTTGTAGGCCGTAGGCCCTGTGCCAGTTGTGCCTAATGGATCATCCGGCCCTGTGTATGGTCGATCCACAGACCAGTTTAGAACCACTGGCTAGGCAGGTGAGGTGAAGTGCCCACTAACAATGCCATTTCATTTTAGCAATACCTCATTGCCTCTACCAGACCATATGCTTTCCCTGTGGCATACACACAGTCAAGGACACCGGAATAGGACATTTTAGTCGTATCTTCTCATTTAGCAAATCCAGCAGCCTGAAGGCATTCCAAAGAGTTGCTCTTAGCACAGATATTTTAATTATGTCATGGAACTACCCACAAACCAAAATACATGCCTCATTACTGCAGAATTTCTAGAAAAGCTAGAAATACTGGTTGGGGGCTTAATTGTGCCCTGCACAAATGAATGAACAAATAAGTATGGGATAGTATGGATCTACAGCATTGCAGCAGGAGCCCTGGGGGAGGAGGGTTGATGCTTTATTAGGATCATTATTGTTTATTTCAACAAAAAACCCCAAACAAACTAGGGTTGCCAGATGGTTTAACCAAAAATACCGAACACAACCCCCTCCCCCCCCGCACCAAAAAAAAAAAAAAAGGGGAAAAAATTCTGTTGAGAAAAAAAAAGAGGGATACCAAAGTTGTTGAGAAAAAAAGGACCCCAAGAGTTATTAAGCGCAAAAAAAAAAAAAAAAAAAAAAATGGCCCCTTTAAGAAATGCTTTTGAGGCTTTTTGGTCCTAATAGGCTGCCAGCTGTCTGCCATCTGATCTTTTTGCTCCAGGTCATTCAGATCCCCTGCGGAGCCAGGTAGGAACCCAGTATTTTCGCTTCCTGGACGGGAAAAAAATCAGAAAATACCGGATATTTTAGGTGTCCGGTATTTTCTAAATTTTTTTACGGGAAAGATGAAAATACCGGATTGTCCGGATCAATACTGGACACCTGGCAATCCTAAAACAAACCCATGTTAGAAGCCAAGTCAAATCAAACACACATATTAGGAAGTTCCAGAATTAAGGTTGCCTGTGCAACCTTAATTTAGCCCCCTTATGCCTGTGCAGTTTGATAGTCTTTAATGACATGATCGCATGCTGTTTTTTCCCCAGGTCCCTCATTCAGGGCACAGGATGGACCTACTCTGGGACCATTCAGGGGTGCCTGGTGATGTAGATTGTTGTCTGTTGGATCCCTGTTTCATTTGTTGCAGTGGTTGGAAGGTGTGTAGAGAAGGTTCACCGTAAGGTTCAAAGGAAAAGGTCATCAGAATATATTAATGTGAGCAAAACAATGTATTTCCCCCAGCTTCATTCCTGGAACTGACTGACTAAATTTGGCTCAGTTTTTTTTAAATACTCAGTCTGAGGCAAACACTGGCATGGAAGATTTCATGGCAAGGTTACACTTTGGCAAAGTGATGAGCAATTGAAAACGGGTTCTTATAATGGCAGCTTTAATAATGGTCAGTAATGCCACCAGCCTTGTCTGGAATAACTCAGTAGCATGTAGCAGTATAATCTTTTCCATCTATGTGCAGGACAATGTTAATGTGCACCAAGACATACATGCATGTGCACCACCAGTAGTGGTGCCGATTTTTTCTATCCATGTGCAGAATAAATGTGTGTGCACCAAGACGTATGCAAATGTGCACCACCAACAGAAACAAAACGGTGGGCACTCGGCTAATCAGCTAGGTAGTGTTTGACTCTCCCCTGAGTGGTCGCACAAGCGCACTGAGGAGTCCCAACTGAGACTGTGTGATGCTAGATGGTGTACAAGCTCCTAGCAAGATACTGTTCCTGCCTTAAAGAGCTCTCACACTAACTAGGCCCGAGTGTCAAAGGAAGCATTATTATCCGTATGGGCGAATTTAGTGTTTTTCCCCAGCCTTGCACGAGGAGTCTTTGTCACAGACAGGACTTGAAGACTGATCCTCTGAGTCTTGGGTTAGTAACTTCATCTCAAGAGCTCCTGAGATGCAGAGAACGTACCAGCTGTGCACCTGCATTGTGATGCAATAGAGGTTGTGGATTCCGTTTCTGCTGTCCGCTCCGAACAGCGTTTAAAGAACAGTAGCTGATGGGGAGTTGGGGTATCAAGCCTATGAGGGCACGGTTAAGGGGATGCGGGTCGTGTGAATTCTTAGAACCACAAAGTCTTTTGAAATTATCCTTTTCCCTCCGTCCCGCCCTCTCTCCGCCTACACGGATGCCGGGAGCTTACATTTCAAAAGCCACAATCGTTTGGTGAGTCCAGGTAGGTGGGATCATCTTGCAAAGCCTCTCTTGGCCTGGGGAGACCTGTTCATAATCCAGCTGAAGGAGCAGAAATGAGTCCTATTGGCAGTCACATCAAGGGAAGAGCCCATGGTCACTGGAGAAGGGGTTCCTGGCACTGCAGGAAGGCTGAGGCATTCACTTTGAAAGGAAATACCAAGGATCTTGTGACTACAGGTGGAACCTCCCTAGTCCGGCACTCTCTGGTCTGGCAACTTCTGTGGTCCGGCATGATGTTAGTTAGCCAGACGTCCACTTTCCATGGGTGTGGCCAAGTTTCCTGTGGTCCCGTGAAGTTTGTTTGTAGCCCCCAGTCCTGGCTATCAGTGTTTGGTGCCGTTGTTTAGCTCTAATTTACCCCAACGTGTCCTCTAAAAGCCCAGCAAGCAGTGGAAGTGTTGGTGAAGCTGCTGGACAATTCTGACCTGTGGTTTGGCACTGGTCAGGTCCCAAGGGTGCCAGGTTAGAGAGGTTCAAGCTGTAGTGTCCTATTGCAGTGACTTCCTTGGGGAAGCACCCAAGGACGGGTGTAGCCATAGTCATTGCAGGGGACGGAGGGCAGTCCAGCAATGACAGTGGTTTGCTGTGTCGCCTTCTGAATAGCTAAGAGAATGGGCGAATTGGGTTCAATTAATTCAAAGGAAGCTTCTACTGGCTCTAGTCGGAGTGGTGTCCAGTGACTCCATTGCTGAGTTTCCCCTCCCTTCGCCTCCACGTGCAAGTAGCAGGCAGTCAGGGAGCAGGTTGTGCATACACCTTGCAAAACCGCCTGCCCTGGCTGTGTCTGGAGAAGCTGGCTCACAACTCTTTTCTTAAGGACAACAACAAACTTATTGTGGAGTAGCAGTCGGCCACGGGCTCAGCAGCCGGGTCCCAACAGATCTCCTCTGGGGTAACGAAAGGAGGATCAGAAGGACTCACGTCAAGCTTTGGATGGTGATGGTCTTCATCACTACTAACCCTGCCGTACGTGTCGGTTTCTTTTTAAACCCTTCCAAACACGCATAAAGGAGCAATGAACCATAGGTTTCCAGGATAAGAGCAGCTGCTAAACTCCACATCGGACCAGTCCCTGTTGTGGGCAATGCTTGGGGGTGAATGGATCATACCCTCTCCTGGATATACTGACCAGCAGACAGCTCCCTGCCCCTCCTGCAGTACCTTCTCTGTACCCCCCTGTGACGGGGCGAGGCAGCCCCGCACTGAACCTACAGGGCCCAGCCAGGGTTACCTGGCTGCAGAGGCCCCTCCCCCACAGCCCTACTGAGCATGCCCGGGCTGCAGCAGGGCTATAAAAGCCTGGGCCAGGACTCACTCAGGGGAGGCAGCCGAAGGAGAAGGACTGGAGAAGGGAGCTCTCCCTCAGCGGTTGCCGGGGACTCCAGGAGAGGCCGGAAGGAAGGATAAAGGCCTGGGCCAGGACTCACTCAGGGGAGGCAGCCGAAGGAGAAGGACTGGAGAAGGGAGCTCTCCCTCAGCGGTTGCCGGGGACTCCAGGAGAGGCCGGAAGGAAGGCGGAGGCGAATCGGTGCAACCCAGAGACTGCCTGCCGAGGGGACGCCGGCCTGGGGGGCCCGGGGGGGGGGGGGGGCCCCGCCGCTCCCGGCCCGAGAACCTCGGCGCGTTTCGGCTGGATGGCCCCGCCGAGAGAGTGACCCGGTACCTGGTCGCTCACA